GCCGGGCCCACCTTGCCCTTGCTGAAGTAGTGGATGATCTTCCGGCACAGCCCCTCCTTCCGCTGCCACTCGCTCTGCGACGGGTAGTGGAGGAACTCCCTCAGCGGCCGCTCCTCCCACTGCAGCAGCTCGCAGTACAGGAGCAGAGTGAACGCAGCCTCTGTGGGGCGGGCAACGTGGAGGTCAAGGCCCGTGCAGCCCAGGTCAGGGGCCCTGGGTACCAAAGGGGAGACACAGGAGCTGCCCAGCTGATGACCTTTGACTACAGCACGAAGGGGCCGAGGCCCTGGGAGACGCCTCCCCCCACGGCCTGGTCACTCGCTCTGGCTCCAGAGGACGGCTGGCCCAGCGACCGGGAGCCGGTGCACAGGCGCCTCGCTCTGGAGAATGGACACGCGAGAGCCCGGGTGGCTTTCTTCTTCTTGTTTTGCTCAGGTGACTAGAGCTTCCTGTCCAGGCGCATCAGTACTGGCTCTTAGGAGTGAGCACTGACCAGGCTTCTCTCTGCCCTCCCTGAGCCGGCCTCGATGCCTCCACCTTCACTTTCTGGTCTCTGCATGGCCCTGGGAAGGACCCTTCTCCTATTCCTCCTGTTTCTAGAAGGACCAGCGCGCGGAGGTGCGAGTGGTGATAAATGTGTGATGGCCGCAGTCAGAAGCTCCATCTCTGAGGAACCGAGCGTTGATCTGGACCCAGGGCAGAGCCCCAGCGACACCTTGCCCTCACGTGGGCCAGAGGGAGAGGTGATGTAAACAGCGCTACAGACCCTGCTCCCTAAATTCCACGGGGTGAGCCACAGGGAGTCACAGCTGCTGCTTGGGGTCCTCTCTACACCATCTGCTCTTTCCAGCTCTCCTTGCTCATTTTCAGTGGCTTCTCTCTTACTGGAAAGTGAGTTAGTTCTAGCTTCAGCCTGGCCTTCGAGGTCCCACTCAGGCCTGTTCCTCATGACTAAGAACCTCAGTTCGAATTATGTTGTGGCCCACTCCCGTTTCGGCCAGGCCCACTCGCCTGCAGGCTCTCCCGGCTCCTCCTCACCCTGGCCGCTCTGCCTGTCCTCCGGCCACGGGACCCTCCTGCCCAGGAGGCACAGGCCTCCTCCTGGATGGGAAGCCTCTCTCCGGGACAAGCCCTGGGCGCTCACGTCCTGCCTCTGAAGCTTGAGAAACAACACATTCTCCTCGGGTGTCATTCCCGAGGCCACTAGTGACGCGTGGAAACGGTCGGCCAGCCCTTCGCTGCCCTCCTGGAGGGGTGCTGGGGTCATGGGGGGAAGTGGATGCGGAGAAGGGGAGTCAGTCCTGCCATCACTTAATTCTGGCCGGGCCGTGTAGTCAGAAAAGGTGGCTTCTATGCCCAACACTCTAACATCGAGAGACAGGGAAAAGGATTGTTCCAGTAAGTCCATCTAATTCCATCGATGTTTGTGGATGAGAGCTTGGATTTCCTGTCTAGCGCACGCATGAAAGCCCTGTGGCCCAAGGGCTGAGAGGGAGCGGCTGGTCACAGTGAAGCCGGTGGCTGTGGGGGGACTATGGCACAAGGTGACTCAGAGCAGGGCTCAGTGAACAGTGTGACAGGCAGTCAAAGGCTTTTAAACGTGTTCTGTGAGGAAAGGCCTCTGTCGTGGGTTAAATGCAGCTGCAGCGGAAGGGCTGCCAGAAAGCCCTCTCCACGCCCCCTGGGAGCTCCACGCTGTGTGGTCGGGAAGCCCAGGCGAGGCCGCTCTCCTGTGTCACGGCCGCACCCGATTCCCCTGTGCAGGTGCTTAGAAAGGCCTGTGCGAGGAGGGGCAGGGCTCAGGATGCTCGAACCTGGAGCAGCAGAACCCGGAAGTCACCCAGGAGGCCTGGGGGTGGGGGTGGGGTGGGGGGCCTGGAGACTGGAGCAGGCAGAGCACATGGCAGGAGGCACAGGTGGGAGTTCTGCCTGCTTTCTCCGCCACGTTACCAAGGAGTCGAGGGGAAGGAGTGAGGTGAGGGGCAGCAAGGCCCCAGCACGCTGTCAAGGTCTGGCAGACACCAGCCAGCGCCATCTCTGTCAGCTGTGCTCACCCGTCCAGTCGGTCCTCACCGGGAGGCACGGCTCTCTCTCTTGCACTCACCTGTGTAGTTCTCCGCCTGCAAATGCATGTCACAAAGCTTATGGATGTAGCGAATATACATCTCTTCTTTGTTAATCTCCGACTTGTAGAAGTTCTGTGAGAGAGAAGGGAGCACACACACAGGTGGGCGGCCATCCCTGAGCTCCAGGCAGCTGGCCCCAGCCCCGGTTGCTGGGCAGCAGTGGGGGCAGCTGTGGAGCACCAACCGGAAAAGGACAGACCCACTGCAGGGCACACCGGCAGGTCTCTGGGAGCCCCGCGCAGTGAGGAAGCGGAGGAGGGCCAGTGCTGGCTGGGATCCGGGCAGGCTGGGAGCTAGGGGAGGTCAGGGCGGTGGGACCTGCCAGGAGGCCAGGCTGGAGCTCTGTCCAAAGAGCAGCTCATTTCATTCCTTTCCCAGTGGGAACAGGACTGAGAAGATGTGCGCTCCAAGAGGGATTCCTGACGACCATGTGCTGGAGGAGAAGGGCATGTCCGCTCACCATCAGGTTCACCGTGCAGCCGACCTTCTTGTTCTCCGTCTCCTCTCCTTTCATGCAGTCCCTGCAAGGAGAGCGCAGGGGAGTGCCCATGGCGTGAGGCGGGGCCACGGGACAACACGCCCAGCTGTAGTCCCACAGGGGCATCGTGGGGACCCACCCGACTGGGATGCTCTCCAACCGGAACTGATTCCTGATGCTCCCCCGGAAGATGGGCAGGGAAGACTCTCCTAAAAGGGCCCTTGCAGCTCTGGCTGTGGCTGCGCGGTGGCTGCCTGTCCCTACCCCAGTGGCTGGGCAGCCCCATGTGCCGGGAGGGGGCCGGGAAAGGAAGGCTCCCTGGCTTCCAGCTGCCTCCTTCAGGTGGAGGTTCTGCTAGAGCCCACGGGCCCGGCAACGCTGGCTCTGTCCCGTCTTCCAGGGACCAAGAGAGCCCTTCTAGGGCTTTGCTTCCGAACCTGGGAAGCACGGTGGCTACCGATGAGCATCTCCCTAGCCAACACGGAATGTCTGGGATTCACGCAGAAGGTGAAGAGCTGCTTCTGAGCGCCTCCGGTTCGTGTCAGTACAGAGCTCACACACTAGAGCTTCAAGGCATTCAGGAGTACTACCGATTGCTTATTTGTAAAGATATATGTATATCGAGCTTGAAACAGCTATTCCCTTAGCGAGTTCTTGTTGAACTGAACTGCATTGGGGTGGGAGCCTTCCTCGGTCCTGCATGACCTCACAGTACGTTCACCCAATTGACGGTGTGTGCGCTGCGCCTGCCAGGGAGGCAGGGACCAGGCTGCTGTCCTCTAGGAGCGGGCTCTTCTGCCGGATGAGTTAGAAAGGTGACACAGGCCATCATCCAGGTGACATGCTCCGAAAAAGGTGTGCAGAGACAGTCGGCTAAGCTCCTGGGGAGGCCTTCTCGCTGGGGGTACGCACAAGGAGCCACACTGGGAGGCTGGGCTGCAGGGCGTGGGGAGTGGGAACTGGCAGGGGGTGGGGCTGGAGCCATGGGCGAAGACCAGTTTATGAAGAGCCTCGGGCGTCCTGGTAAAGAGTCTGAACTTTGTGTTGCAGATACTACCACTGAGACAGGAATGGGGGAGAACAAGGCAGGCGGGGCAAGTGCAAGCAGCTAGAACTAGGCCCGGAGCCCGAGAAAGCAGCGTCTGCTCTTTGCGCAGCCACAGTGGATAGGGCCGGTGCTAGTGAGCGCCGTCGTGAGGAAGAGGCCAGGAGTTCTGTCTCCCTTCCTCCCGGGGGCGGCAGGTGCCGCGAAGACTAGGCTATCCTGGTCTGTGGTGTGAACAAGTCAGTCCTCTGCTCTGACTCCCCAAAGGCCGCGTGTGACCTCACGAGGCCCCGGAACAAGGGTCTGAAGCTCACACAAGCACAACTGCTATGGGAAGAGGGGAAGCTCGAGATGCGAGCACTTTCCTCAAGAATCCCACGTCCACCCCCAGCCCTGCCCTGGACGCCGAGTCCTCTGCTCAGCAAGCTCTTGGTGCAGCTTCGCCTTCCCTTCCGCAGCAGCGATGGGGGCGGACCTCGCTCACATTTCCTGCCGTGGGTTGAAAACGCTCCCCGGTGCGCCCGTGTCTTGTAGCACAGAGGAGACGGAGCTACTGCTCGGGGCTGTTTCCTCTTCCATTCCTCCTCTCTTTCAGCGTCTCCCTCTGTTCCAAAGGCCCCTCAGCCTCTGCACCCGCACTCTGCTCAGAGGACACCCAAGGCTGTCGTGGTAGCTTCACTGTCACTTTTAGACGAATCAAAAGCCATGAAGTGATGGAGAAAGCAGGTGTTCATGCAAAAGCCAGTTTCACATGAATCTCAGATTGACCAGAACGGACAGACCCTGAGCTCACTCAGCTCTCTCTTCCTCTATCTGCTCACAGCCGGCACCAAAGGACAGACAGAGGCAGACTCTAGGCAGAGAACGCAGGCATGGAAGGGTGGGGTCCCTGGACAATGGCAATGCCAACCGCAAGTCCTTCTGGGTCACACTTCTGTCCCAGGCAGCACTCCCTGCCCGCCGGCCACAGGGCTGAGGAAGGCCACACTGAGCACCTACAGCCAGTCCCTGCCTTGCTTTCCTCTCCCTCCCTGCTGAGCCCACGCCTCTGAAGGAAAGTCAGATGGCAGCATGTTCTGGGTGTTTCCTGGGAACATGTGCCCAATATCAGGAGGGATCCCAGGAAGGAGCCCTCCCTCCACCCTGCGTGGCCATCAATAGATTCTTAATGACTGGCGATGGCACGCAACACCAAAGCAGCCCTCCCCGAGCGGCACCTGGTCTCAGCTTCAAGGTCCAGGGATGCCCCGCTAGAGAGAGTATCCTGCGGCCAGGGGGTGCCTGAGCAATACCTGTAGTCCAGAAGGCGCTCCATGAGGCGCGTGACTGAGGTCACGAAGGAAATGCCGGTCTCGCGCCATGTTTCCTGTTCAATCTTCTCCAGCAGGCTGTGTGGACGAGTGAGGGAGACAAACACAACACACAGTCCGTGAGCCTTCCCTGGGCACAGGAGTGGACCTGGAGGCCCGGGGCCCGTGGCAGGTCTGGAGACAGCAGACTCACCACGCCGCAGCCTTACCTGGGGTAGGGCCCAAACAGCTGGGTTCTACTCCACGCAGCACAAAGCAAGGACAAGGCAATTACTGAACCGGCAACAGCAAATAAACATATTTTCCATTTTCCTGTATGAGGCCCCAAGAATGCCACTGAACCGAGGGCGGGGTTTCAAAGCCCTGGCCCCTCCCAGTGCGTGCTGTGAGGTCTGTTCTGAAGAAGCAGCTGAGTAAGAGGCCACTGAGGGCCGGGCCTGGCTTTGCCAACTGGCTGACGGCCTCGATCACTGCTTAGCACCATCTTCAGCGAACATACAAATCAACCCTTCACGCACAAGCGGAAGATTCCCGCCAGGCGCGAGGGCCCAGCACCCCGCTTGCCCCGGAGCCACACCAGCACTTCTACCGTCGGGGATGCTCCATGCAAAACGTGCCAGAGCCAGAGTGAAGTGCCCAGGTCCTCTGCTCACTCCAGCCCAGGCCCCGCTACCTCAGATGGCCTCTGGCTTCTCCTGAGAGCCTCTGCCTCCCACAGGCCTCTCCCGACTCTCGTCCACACTGTCCCTGCTCCTTAAGCTCATGGAAAGTCCCCGGATTGGCAGGCCGTGCTGAGGGCGCACCACTGGGGACTCACACCCACAGCCTGGCGGCTGTTAATGCTGCTGTGAGGATGACAGTCTGAGCGGAGACTTCTGGGAAAGTGAGGTTCCCCATGTGACTAGAAGAGAAGGCAGGACCACTGGCTCTGGCCTCTGGCCCACATGGATAACACGACTGTGTCAGCATCCCCCAACCTGTGCTCTCAGAGCTCTGCTGTGCTGGCGACAGGGAGAGGTGTTTTGTGAGCAAACAGGCATGGGAAGTGCTGGGCACCACACCCTCCTTTTGGAGACTTTCACCTCTTTCTGCACATTAAGGGCTTTGAGAAATTCTACAACTACAGAGGCCTGTTCCATTTTGTTCAGTTGGGACGTTTCTAAACGAATCAGCCCGTGGCCCACTTATTCTTTCGTCTAGCATACCTACAACCTCCCCCAAAACACCAAGTGGGAAATGCTGCTCCACGCTACCAGTGGCTTCCGGCGCTCAGACACGACTGGAAACACTGCGAGGCACTACCGGGCAGGTAATTCAACTGCAAGTTATTTCTGTGCTACGTCTTCTCTTTGTACTCAGGTCATCCGCTAGCAGCTCAGGAAGAGCTTTCTTTGTCTTATTTCACAATTAGAAACAGCTTCAGCTAAGAGAGCAATGCTGAGAGATGGATGCACTTTCACAGACTTAAATTTCAGATGAATTCACATTTCACTGCGTGCCTCGTCAAGGCACAAAGTGGGCATGACAGACAGAAAGATTCCCCCTCAAACCAGGGACCTGGCCCACCCCCGAGCTGCTTCCTGCTGCGGGGCGGCTGAGGGCGAGGGCGCCTGCCAGGCTCTGGCTGTCTCATCACCTCCATTCAGCAGGGCGAGCCCTGCTCTGCCTGCCACCCGCTGTGTCATGAGGATTAAACAGGAAACGTCAACACATTCTGCGCAGCGTAAGGTTGTAAGCAGATGTGCAGTATTATTACTGGAAAAGTATGTTACAGGTTGTCTTCAATACGGCACTAAAACAAAGAAAATCTTCAAGTTGGAAATGAGGGGGGAGGAGACTAGAGCTGTCAATGTCTTAAGATTCTGTTTAGAAAGACAAAATATCCGACATCACTATCTGTCTGGGAGGACCACGGCCCCGGAGTCCCTCCTTGTGGACTTAGTCCTTAAAGGCTCTTGGCCTCCATGAACTCAAGCCAGGAGCCATGAATGGTGGGAGCACCCTTGACGTCATCGGTATGACCTCCTGTTTTGCAAGGCACCCGGCCTTGCTCAAGTCATAACATCCATGTCAGTGTTTTCAAGCCAACTGCACACTGACACAAGCAGGGGTTTCACTCCTGCAGCACCGAGCCCTCGTGAAGTCCCCTGGAGCTGTTTGGACACAGCGCCTGCGATGCAGACATGCAGCGCCCTCTGGCCTCCGCAGCCGCCATGGCCGGCTCAGAGAGCCTGCTGTCACAACGCCACTTCTTGATGGACAGCAGGGGATCCCTGCCCCCACTAGGAACCCAGGTTTCTCCTGACACCCACCCTCTAAAGCCTGCCCCGTGTGGGGCTGCACCCCGCCCCTGCATGAGCCCTCTTCACCCCTCCCCCAACGCGGGGTGCCTGGGCTGAGCAGCTTACAGCAGGCCGAAGAGCTCCCTGTAGCTCTCGTCACCTTTCCCTTCCGACACCATGCTGTCCAGCTTGTCGATCAGCTCGGACTCCACCTAGAGGGAAGCAGAGGCGTGGTGACCCGGCGGACCCTGCGGCAGGTGAGGGCCTTTGCGCCAGACAAATCCCAGGGAGGCAGACTCTCGTCTCAGCCCCGAGAAACCAGCTGCCTCCGGGCCAGGAGGGCTCCCGCCAGTGGTTTTAAGAGTTGGAACTTACACTTCCCAGGCACTGTACTGTTTCCCAGTCCAGGGGCAAAAGGCGAGGACTCCCTGGAGAGAAACGTATTTTGGATACAAAACCTTTGTCAAAGGTTTTTCTTTCTTAAAAAAATGTTCATTGAAAATAATTTGTACGTATAGAACACTACCCTCCAGTCAGCCAGCTACAAAGGACAGGAGCTGGGCTGGGCCCACTCTGACCACCATTAGGCTGGGCTGAGGGAGGTATTTCCTGCGAGACTCTCCTTCAGGAAAGAGGGCCCCCCTCCACGTCCCCCACGACCTAAGCGCTTGGGTCATCAGCAGGGCCCTGCCTGCGTTGGACTCCTAAACCGTGAGGAGCAATCGTGCTCTTGTTACTACTGCCAACTGCTCTGCAGGGCGGCCGTGTGCTCAGCCGTTTTCCCAACAGGCTCCATTAGGGTTACTCTGAGGTGAGAGATTAGCTGTCCGCGATGAGAGAAAATCTTTAAAACCTTCATTAGCCTTGAGAATGTGGTATCGTGGCATTATTTATACAGCTATTTCATATAAACAAAAAACGGCATGGCTGCATTTAATAATTAACTGTAACAGAAACATTTTCTCACTCTAATAGGGCCAAAGAGTCCTAAGGCAATGAACTAAGAAAAGAATAATTGAATTAGGAAATTCATTGCTGGCAGTTACGGTTTCTGAAATCCCATCAGCAGAAAAAGAGACGGTCAGGGCAGGGACTCCCACAGTTATGTTCGGCCTGAGGAGTGAGCTGCTTGAATATACGCTTCACCGGAAATAGCAAGCTGAGGCCGGGGTCCTGTGGGGCTGGTGCCCTGCACGCTCTCTGTGTACAGAGGAGGCATCGGCAGGGACCTGTCTCGGGTCAAGTGACGTCAGGAAGAGCTGGTCTCACTGTCAGCCAGCTGGCACCGCTCGCAGGGAAGCGGGTCTGTGTGTAACAAGGGATTTCCCCTCACACATGCGGTGCAGGCAGACTGTGCTTCCAACAGGGCAAAGGTGGGGAGGGCCCGGAGCAGCAGAGACTCAACAGTGCACACGTGGGCAGAGCAGTTGCCTGCAGTTCCCAAAACGGGTCCCTGGGCCAGAGCACCAGGCCCAGAGATCTTGTTAGATTCAAATTCTCAGGCTCCACTGCATCAGAACCGCCGCGGGGAGGCAGCAACAAGCCGCCCAGGAGGTTTGGATGCCATTCAAGTGCTAGAACCTCTTTGTGAGGCAGAGGAGCCGGTGAGGGAGGGGGTGGGGACATGACTTCATCACCCTCTGAGGCCCCGATACAGGAAAAGGTCAGGAGAAGCTGAGAAATCCAAACCTGGTGCTGAGGATCCGTGTGAGCAGAAACCAGTGACCCCAGGCGAATGCCAAGTTCTTCAGCTACAGCAGGTCCTAACTGGCAACACTGGCCATTTTAGGACTGAGGGGTGACTTTTATTACTAGAACCAAGATTCCTGAAGTGACGCCTCACTATGCATTCATTCAACAAGCTTACTTCCTGTGACATACAGCTGCCTACTTCCGGATAAAATGTTTCCCTAAGCCCACATGTCCTCACGTGTGAGCTGTGAGGGGCTAACGCGCTTCTTCAGCCCCGTGCCCAGCTCTGGGAGGTGCTCCGTGGACGTCAGCTTTGATTCTCATCTCTGTGAACCCACCGTGTCCCACACAACATGGTGGGTTCTAAGGAAGAAAAGCACAGGAAACCGTCCCCGGAGACAGCTCTGAGGCGGGGCCGCCTCCTCCACCTCAGGCGGCAGAACGGTGCAGAGGGACAAGCCGCAGCCAGCAGTCTAGCCAAAGGCGCACCCCTCCTGGACCCACCCTCTGTGCAGGAGCCTGTGAAATTCCGGGCTTCCTGAGCCGTGAGAAGCCACCAGGCCAGGGCCCCAGCCCTGGCAATGCCCGGACACACACGTTGGGGATCCCTAGAGAGGAAACACCAGCCTCCCAGGGCCCTCTCCTGAATTAACCGGGAGGTGACAGTCCTCCCCTTGGTCAGACAGTGCCTTTCACATGACATTCGTTCCTTTTCTCTGATTCTTTTCTGGCCTCTAACTTTATGAGGAAAACTCACACATCAATTCTGGCCAGCAAGTGACAGAACACCCTTGAACAGGAAGGATTCCAGATGGCCAAGCTACAACCCATCCCCACAGGAGCCTCCGCCTGGCCACCCAAGTCCCCTTCCTGGGCAGGAGAGCACCCCGAACCTGCCAGGTGTCATCTTACCTGCTTGAAGTTGCCATTTTTCCTCTGCTCCCAGTCCATCATGTCATGAAAGATGGGAATCATGATATTCCGCACTTCTGGCTGCGGGACCAGCGTCACACCCAGAAAAGGACCAATCATTCCCGGGATAAAGTGGATCTTATGTTCACCTGAACAACAAACCCAACAGGTCGTATTCGTACTTGCTCTGCTTCTGCATGGAGGCTGCCCAGTGGGCCCTGCAAGCATCGGAGCAGGAGGCTTCCCCCAGGCTTTCCGAGATGCACCCTCTCCTGGCTGTAGGGCGTCACGGACAACACGGGCCCAGCCCAGAGAGACAGTGAGTCAGATGCTCGACAGGCACAAACTGCCTTTCCAAAGAATTTACCGGAAGTTCACTAACCACCTGAAAATCATTCTGGGCTCAGGGACGGAGTTCACTGCTCTAGACAGGATAGGATTTCTGTGTAACCTGCGACAGTTTCAGAGTCTGCTCACAACAGTCATTTAGCAAGAAAAAGTCCATCCACAGGCAGCGCACACTCCCTGGTTCCTCCCTCCAGCCCAGGGCTTCTCGGTGTTGAGGCTGTTCCGTCCCTGGTCCAGCCACTAGAGGTCTGAAGCCCGGGGCGGCTGCCCGTGTGCGCCACCTGCCAGAGCCCTGCTGTCCGTGCGTCAGACACGAAGGAGGAGAGACAAACCGTGGGCCGTGTAAGCACCACGACTATGGCAAAGCCAGGTCACTCCTGAGGCCCAGAAAGTGCCATCCCATCAAAAACAATGAGAAAGGATTGGCTTATTAGGCAAATGTGACATCTTTTTAAATCTCTTCTATTTAAAAAGCTTATTTAAGGATCAGATGTTAGCCCTGAGGCTGATGTTGCATATTCCGATCTTGGTGGTCGGTGCAGTTGCTAGTCCACTGGGCTCCTGGGAATTTCAGAGTCTACCCCCCCCCAACACACACAGAAGTGCGAGTCCTGCAGCGGGAAGCTGCCTGGGGAACACATCTCCCTCCTAAGGGAAGGCCCGTGCTTGCTGCAGGAATGGCTCACACTCTGCTTGTTCCTCTCGTGTTAGAGACAGGGATGGTTAATGAAGGACTATGAGACTTTAGGGCCCTCACTCCTCAGGCTTCAGAACCAAGAGCTCAGTTGAAAACAGACTTTATTAGGAAGAGGAGGGGAGCTTCCCCCGCACTCTGACAGGCTAGCAAAAGCCTGCAGCACCAAAGGGTGGCCACCCACCGGGCAGTGCAGGTGTGCTAACCCCACCCTCACAATCGCAGATCCAAAGCAGTGGATGGCAGGGAAGCTGTACAGAGAAATCATCAAAAGAAAGGAAGCTGAAACCAGTCTCACCTACGGGCTGAAATTCCCTTCCTACATCCAACCTTCATGCAATGGGTGTCAGGAATGTGACCTGCTGGCCTGAATTCAGAAACCCAAGAAGGGTTTCAAACTTTACTAAAATGCGTAGCTGCCCTTGATGTGCTGCTGAGCATCTCCGAGATCTATGCCTCTGAGTCCAACATCCAGATGGCACAGGCAGAGCAGAGCGATATGACGGGCAGGAGCGCTCCAACTGGAAGATACGACGGAGCCCTCATCTTCTTTTTTTCCCTTTGGATGGTTAGCTCTCAAAAAGGGGGTTGGAATATGTGTTACTGGGGTCCTAGTTCTCAGCCCCACTCTCCTGCCAGGGCTGGTGCACAGGCGCTACACCACCCATCTGACGTGTTAGTGAAAGACACGGGAAGATTTCTTGGGTCTAAATTAACATTCATAAACCTCGGGGAGTTACTAGTCCTGTCACTTTCTATCTGGCTATGCAGTATGTGGAAGGGACAAACAAGGAGAAGAGACCTACCCAAATTCTGCCACATGCTGAACAGTTCATAAGCCATCATCACACGCATGTCCCCATACCTGGACACAGGAACACAGGAGCCGGTTATTAGTGGGGAAGGTTCGGGAAGACAAGGCTACAACCAGGGAGGCCAGTACTTCAGCACTATTTCTAGCGTTGCCCCGACTCTAAGCCATCTGCCTCTCACTGGGCTCCTCGGGAAGCTGCCCAGGGAGCCTGTGGACATCTGAAGAGGCCTCCCATGGAAACACAAGCCCATCTGGGCATGTGGTAAGGAGGTAAGAGACATATGTCTTACTTATCTAGAATCTTCTTCCTCTTGGCTGAAGTGATGATTTCTAGTTGGAGGCTTGGCTGGTTTATGAACAGAACTGCCAGGCTAAAATAAGAATTCCACACCTAGAGAGACAGAGAAAGAGAGGAACATGTGGCAGCCCAGTCTTCAGCTTTGCAAGAGGGATTCTAAATATACGCATGTAGCACAGAACCCATTTTACAACTTTGAGATCTTGATTTTTTTTCTTTTTAAGTATCTTTGCAAATGTTTTTTTTTTCTTTTCTTCTTTTTTGACTCCTCTGAAGCCAACAGTGTTAATTCGGGACCGGGAAGCATACTCGGGGACGTCTGGCTCCCAATACCTCCCGAAGCTGAGCTCACTCTGGGTGACATTAGTCACTATCAAGCTTGGAAGCCATTTGATAATACAAACATGTTGTGAATAATAAAAGAACCAGTGAGCTTTCCCCAGCCCCCAAGCTGACACGTAGCCAAGTCTTTCTCAAATTCCTCACCTGTACAATTGTAAGCAAAACGAAATGGCTGTTTTAAGTAAAACAAAAACAAAAACAAAAACGAGCGTGGTTTTTGGCTTCCGAGGGTCGTTACAAAGATCGCGGTGGTCTCAGGAGCCCCTACCTTGAAGTCGAAGTCCGTCTCTGTGAAGTTCTTGTGCAGGGCGGAGGACAGGTACTGCACAGTGGTGACTATGACGCTGCAGGGAGGGAATAAAGTGTTGGCAGAGTTAACAGACTCACAATGGCATCTGGGAGCTTAGCGTCAGCTGGCTACGGCCTGTGTGCGGACTTCTTGAGCACAATGTGCTCCCACGTAAGATGTGACTATAAAGAAAAGAGAGATGGCACAACCGCCACAGACAATCAGGCTTGGAGAAACGCCCCATTGTCGGCAGAACAGCACAGGGCAGGAGAGGGCTCTGGCCCAGCTCTGCCATCATCTGGCCTTGGGACTACTTCTCTCTGGGCCCGTTTCCCTGCCTATAAAAGGGGGCAGGTGAGGTTTGATGGTTTTTTAAAGTTGCTTCCAGTTCAAAGAGTGATTCTAGTGTTTTGGGGACTTCTGGGTAATGAACGTATATTATAACCACCAGAGGGCATAGAGTATAACTTTGCTTTTTTACATGATGATGGGGGTTTGAAGTTATTAAATGTCTGTATTTTCATCTCTAAGTCATTTGGCTCCAGCCTTTGGTTTAGAATATCACCCTTAATTTTAGTTTGGGCACCTATAAGGGTGCTGAGGGGCTGGCTTGCTGGAGCCAAAGGCACAGGTTGAGGTAGAGAGAGAGTAAAACGGAAGAGGCAGGTGAGGGTCTGACTACAGAGGCCCTACTGCCTGGCAAGGGAGCTGGTATCTAACAACGACCACCAGGATTCAATGCAGGAGAAGGGCAAGGCAAAGACAGTGAGTCAGAGAGACGACTCCACCAGCAGAGGGGTGAGATTTGAAAGGTAAAAGCCTTAAAAGAGCCTGGCGTGGCTCAGTGGTTGAGCATCGACCTATGAACCAGGGGGTCAGGGTTCAATTCTGAGTCAGGGCCCATGCCCGGCTGCAGCTCGATCCCCAGTGAGGGGCGTGCAGGAGGCAGCCGACCAATGATTCTCTCTCATCACTGATGTTCTCCCTCTCCCTCTCTGAAACCAGTAAATATGTATCTTTTTGAAAGCCTTAAAAGAGGCTGTGCCTGCAGGACAGGCTGGGAAGCTCCGAGGAGAGCTGAGAGACGGAAACGCGAGGGAGTCAAGTGGAAAACCCGCTGTGAGGAAATAGCCGTGTAGCTTTGATTATCAGCACCCCCTGCTCTGTTCCGCATAAAATGTTTGCAGTTTTGGACACAGAAGTAAAGGGCACTATCCCAGGTAAAGCGGAAAGGCCGCGCTGATGCCAACACGAAAGGCAGGTCAGCGGGCGGAGGCAGCGGCCAGCGGCCGTCCGGAGTGGAGGGGGACCGGGTGAGGCCGCACTCACCTCCGGCATCACTTCTCTGGTGTGTCAGTGAGAAGCTCAGGCTAGAAACAGAAACACGGCAGGCGGCCTGGGGTCAGCCTCAGAAGCGTCAGAGCCGCACAGCCCGGCCTCAGGGGCACTTAGCACTGACTGTGGGAGGCAAGCGGTGTCTGGCCACACAGACCA